AATCGCCCGCCGCCCAACGGTCGTCTCTGGAGAAGTCACCCGAAACACAACGGGAAGCATCGTGGTACCAACGGCCGTGACGAAGGACAACGGCTAGATTTGCTGCCCAACGGCTCCTCTCAATGAGACCAGCGGCCACGCCAGAGCGGGCCAGGGGGGAAGTAGCGGGGCCTCGGTCGGCGACACCACTGCATGTAGCCTCCGCCCCCACGGACACCCTTGGTCAAGGCATTTTGAGCTCATGGCACGCTCAGGCGGACCGTGGTCTCAAAAGGGGGAACTATTGTAACAAGGCATCGGCGGGTGGCGAAGGCCTCCGACGACGAGGTATCACCAAGGCGTCTCCGACCGTCTCAGGGCGGTGGTAAGGCACTGACTAGAGGAACTTTCCTGCTATGCTTGCAGGGCGCTACACGAGGCTCAACGAGCCTGTCGCGGATTCCTCCCGGACCGAGCACGGGCATCTCCGGCTGCTCAGGCGGAGGCCGCCCCGCTTAAGCTGACGGGTGTCTCCGACACTAAAGGTGGAGGCCGCCCCGCCCCCAAACTAATGAAACAAACAACCTTGCCTAAGTGTGTGTAGGTACCTAAGCGCAGGCGCCCGTGGTCCGCGCGAGCGTGCCGGCATGGCCCCCGCACGATCGGGCGGAGACTTACGCAGGAGGCCTCCGACCGGATCGGCGGAGACTCGCACAGGCAGCCGCGCGCCCCCGAGGACGGAGGCCAGCGTCGGGAACCCAGGCCTCTGGGCCGAAGACTGAGGCACGGTGGGCCGGCCGCTTGTGGAGGCCGATTACATGGAGACAGTGTGGCAAGATTGCCCCGCAAACGAGAGACTGATGGCGGAATATTCCAGGAATGTACTGTAGCAGTTGAGGGGCATTGCAGTAAACTCTGTCAAGAGGTAGTTGAGTCCTATAAATAGGGAGCACTTGTAACAGTAAGTTGGTTGGTGAATGAGTTAACGAAACCCTAGTTTCAGCGTGTCATCTCCCTACTCCCACCTGTCGCGCCCGTATTTCGTGCCTCCGGCCAGGAGCAGCGCCCTGTGAGCGGAGGCCCCTATCACCACTTCACTGTCTGAGACCCCCAGTTTCAACAAGCTCATAGAAATATCTCTAGAAGCTTTCAGAAATCGAATTTAGCTCTAAAAATAGAAAATATCTAGAAAATCTAGAAAGCCCTAAAAGATTTGATATATATCTAATTGCATTTCATGAACGTTTCGTGATAAAAATATGAGATGCAACTAGCATAACGCAATCAACATTAATGTATCTTCCATTCATGTTGGTTACATCCCATAGTTTTGTTGCAGAAAGTTTGTAAAAGATGTTTAGAATTAATTAGAATCAATTTTTTCTCGATATTCTTCTCATTTTCCCAAACAAAAAAAAAATCTTCTGGAGATATTTTCATAGGCTCCAAATATTTTTAGTTGGGCTTTTCGTGTCCCAGTCTACCTCTAGGATCTTTTTTTTCAATAATTTTTGTGGTCTAAAAACCACACTATGATTTTTATTGCATTTTTTTAACTAAAAATGATAATACCGCCATAAAAACCACCTCAAACTGAGACAAGGAGGCAATTTTAACAAAGTTGTTTGCTGACTGAGACAAGTTGTCAGGTTTTAAATTTCTAGGGAAAACGTAGACTCCAACGATGGTTCAAGCTAAGCTACCCATACTACGGTGAGGACTCAGTCTCATACTACAGAGAAGTTCAAGTGACTTTAATGACAACACAAATGTCATGTAACCACCATCTTATACTCGATCCTGTTCAATATGAACAAGTGACAACTTAGCCTAGAAGATGAATTTGGATACAACATTTTTTGGTTAACAATCTAGTTAATTCGGCCTACCTCATATGGGTCCTAATAGCTAGATACCACCACATCCAAAGAAATATCATTTGATTACACATAATATTTATTTTGCTTCTTTAGAAACATGAATAGGAATTCTGTTTGATGGAATTTAAATTGTTGGCACAAAGTTGATACATGAGAATGAAATGGTAATAAGTTAGCAAAAATATTTCCAAAGAAACAACATTTTATTACACATAATATTTATTTTGCTTGTTCTTTAGAAACATGAATAGGAATTCTGTTTGATGAAATTTAAATTATATTGTTGGCACAAAGTTGATACATGAGAATGAAATGGTAAAATTTAGCAAAAATATTTCTAACTGTTTTTTCCTTGTGGCTGAATATGCTAAGGGGTTCAACTATAAGTGAGTTAAATGATATACTACTTATTTTGTCATTGAATTGAAGTCATTCGAATTTCAACGTACTCCGTACGAGATGCTACCGGGACTGGCCCATATATAGAATAGAACTGTTGTTGGTCTTCCTGAACTCTAAATGCGCTGTGAACTCAACTTCAACTATTATTCCTGGCCCATAATGAGTATAACTATTGGACTTCTTGATCTTTAAATGGGCTATAAGCTCACCTTGAACTGTTGTCTGGGCCTCCCAGTAAATCAAAACTTTTCTCTCCATATTAACAAACTTAAAAAGGTCGAACCCATCATAGATCAATTGGTTAGGTTCATTGTCATATAACTTTTCCACCTGGGTTTAAGTTCTCGATTTAACACGGGTGCTCGTATTTTTTTAAGGGCTAGTGTGCGTGCGCATTATAGGTGTCTATATTGTAATTCTAAAAAGACCAAACTTAAAAGGACAAAAGTAGACTTTGTTCTTTAAAAATACAAAAAATCAATCTAGAATCATATATATGACACCTGGTGATGGTGTGGTGTTAAAATACGAAGTGACTTTTAGTCACTGGTTGAGCAACATTTCGTGAAGAAAATAATAGTTGTTCATAAAAACCCGGACCAAGACGAATTGTATATGAAAATCAATAGCTTCGACAAGACCTAGAATTATGTTACTCAGGAGCGGTATCTACTTATCTAGAATTTTTCTTCAAGTTCATACAAAGATTTTGTTCTTCCAAACATGAGGTACACCGTGAGGCTAAGTGATTTTTTTTTCTTTCAAGTTTGAAGGAACGCGACGAGAGGCTGAATGTCTCCTACTAAGTGCTGGCTTAATGGATGGCTAAATCTATTGAGGATAACCCATGATAGCTCTACATTTTTTTTGTGTGCCTGAGTTTTCTAAAGAATAGAAAATAATGAACATTAGTTTCACGTGGGCGTCCTTTGAACAAACACTGTCACTGTCAGTTCAGTTTCTAAAGGAAATCCATGAGCACGGATGGAAGGCTGGAATGACCGTAGTGGTATGGTATACAAGAGGCGAGCGGTTGTATCCTTTATGCCCCCGAACGTAAAGATTTCATAGGAGTTATACGAAGCACACAAATCAGTTTAGTCTCACAAAAAAAACATAGAGACAGGTAGGCTGCATAATTAAGTGTGGCAAGGATATATTACTAGAGTAAGAGGGTCCTTTTAGAGCGTAAGAATTTCACATGAATCGTCTTTTAAGAAAATATAGAAAACATATTTTTTAAACATTTTAAAGTGGCCCTAAAACATGCAATAATAGAATAGCCTAGATTGTGTTAGCAATATGGGTTATTATAGACTGACGACTATTTTAATGTAGTAATAAAATTTAAAAATGATTGATCTCGAAGGTCATGTGGGTTTCTCTAAGGCCTTGTTTAGCCCCGGCCGGATTTTGGTTTTGCACAGTGTTTCGGCACTGTAGCAACAATGTAGCATTTCGTTTGTATTTGTGGATTATTGTCTAAATATTGACTAATTAGGCTTTAAAGATTCGTCTCGTAAAGTTAAAGCAAACTGTATAATTAGTTTTTGATTTCATCTACATTTAGTACTCCATACATATATCGCAAGTTTGATGTGATAAAAAATCTTCTTTTTATATAGTGCCAAAGTTAAAAATTTGGGGAACTAAACAAGGGCTAACTGAGAAGGGCAGGAGGCACCATCACTGTCAACGGAATCATGTTTTTAAAGCCGTGTGGACACGGATAGCTAGCGTTCTTTATAGTTGGAAGAGAGAATTTCTTATTTGACAATAGAAAAATGAGTTGTTTTTTTTTTTTTGAAATTTTCTTCGTTCCCTATTTGACACTCACTTCAACTTTCATCCTTAATTTGACACTACCATCAAATCCGTTAGCTAACGTTATTAACTGGCTGTTAAAAAGATGTTTTTGCCCCTAGAAAAAAAAGCGGCGAAGCAAATTTGAGAGGAAAAAAAACCTGCGCCTTTTTTTGCAGCTGGGTGCATGCATCATAGGCGGGCACAGTTTTTTTTTCTCTCAAATTTGCTTCGCCGCTTTTTTTTCTACGGGCAAAAACGTTTTTTTAACGGCCAGTTAATACCGTTAGCTAATGGATTTGACGGTAGTGTCAAATTAGAGATGAAAGTTGAAGTGAGTATCAAATAAGGAACAAAGAAAATTTCAAGATAAAAAAAACGACTCATTTTTCCAGTCTCAGATAAGAAATTCTCTCTATTGCGATGACTGGTTAGGATCGGCGAGCCAACCATTTTTTAAAGATGACGCAAATAGCCGAGGACTAGTGTGCATTTTAATTTTACTATAGCAAATAAGTACGGAGTACATTTTTTTTTCAAATTTCGGACTCCTTGCTCCCTTTTTCACTCCGCCTGAATTTGCCTAATTTTCACTCAAAAAATGTCCACTTTTGGAACAGTCAGTCAACTATCAAGAGTTGCCGAGTGCATCATCTGACCCACCCAAAACCAACCGTTGCCCTACTAACAAGCTAGCTACCCAATTGGACCACCGACACGTGGACCCCGACGTTCCTCCAGACCCACATGTCAGCTGGTTCACTTCCGCTCAGCCCACCAGGGATCGCATCTTCCCAAGCTCACCCGGCCCCACCATCTCGGAGCTTTCTCCCCCACCCCACTTTCACCTCGCTCCCCGCGTCGGCGGCCCGGGCCACCACCACCGCGCCTACTAATGGCAGCAGCCGGATCTGGCCGCCCGCCGCGCCCGCGGAGATGAAGCGCCGCCGCCTCCCGCCCGTCCTCTTCCTCCTCGCGCTCGCGCTCCTGTCCCTCGCCTTCCGCCGCCACTTCTCCCTCCCCCTCGGCGCGCCCCACTTCGCGGCCGGCGGCGGCGGTGCCACCAGCGACGCGCTGCTCCGCCGCCTCGCGGCCACCGACGTTGGCGCGGACCAGATCCTGGCGGAGGCGGAGGCGCTGCTGGCCAACGCGTCGGTGTCCACCTTCCCCAGCATCGGCAACCACCACCGGCTCCTGTACCTCCGCGTCCCGGCCTACCGCCTACCGCAGCAACGCCACCTCGGCGCCGCGGCAGCGGACCGTGTCCCGGCTCCGCGTCCCGTTCCACGGCGTCCCCAGCGACGACGCGCTACTCGCCGCCTTCCGCGCGTCACTCCGCGGCTTCCTCCTCGCGCGCCAACACCACCGCCACCGACAACATGACGACGTCGCGGGCGCCATGGCCGAGCTCCCCGCGCTCCTCTTTGGTCGTGGGCACCGGCGGCGGCGCGCCGCGAAGTGCGCCGTGGTCGGGAACAGCGGCATCCTGCTCGGCTCCCGCCGGGGCGCGCAGATCGACGCGCACGACCTCGTCATCCGCCTCAACAACGCCCGCGTCGCGGGCTTCGCGCCCGACGTCGGCTTCCAGACCGGCGTCTCCTTCGTCAACTCCAACATCCTCCACCACTGCGCCGTCCGCTCCGCCGTCACCACCCGCGGCTGCGGCTGCCACCCCTATGGCCGCGATGTCCTGCTCGCCATGTACGTGTGCCAGCCCGCGCACCTCCTCGACGCGCTCATCTGCAACGCCACGGCGACGCCGGAGTCCCCGTTCCCGCTCCTCGTCACCGACGCGCGCCTCGACGCGCTGTGCGCGCGCATCGCCAAGTACTACTCGATGCGCTGGTTCGTCGCCGCCACGGGGCAGCCGGCCAGCAACTGGACCCGGAGCCACGACGAGAGGTACTTCCACTACTCGTCGGGCCTGCAGGCGGTGGTCATGGCGCTCGGGGCGTGCGAGGTGGTCAGCCTGTTCGGGTTCGGGAAGGCGCCTGGGGCCAAGCACCATTACCACACCAACCAGAAGAAGGAGCTCGACCTGCACGACTACGAGGCTGAGTACCAGTTCTACCGCGACCTCCAGGAACGGCCGGAGGCGGTGCCGTTCCTCGACGAGGCGCCGGGCTTCAAGGTGCCGCCGGTGAAGCTCTACTGGTGACCACTGAGGAGGTCAGTAACGTGTGCTAGTAGCTGTTAGTGTAATCTGTTCATTGTTGTACAATTTTTACATTTTGACTTAGAGAGATGTTTAGGCAGAGAGAAGTGTGTAAAATATGGCAATTAAAAGGGAGTGTGAGAGGCTGTCATAGATGTTTCAGGATGGGGAGCATATAAGGAGGGGTAAATGCAGATCAGTTTTGTATTGATCAAATGGATCAAATTGGTTTGTAGTTCATGTATTCTGTGTAGGGCAATTGTACACTTCAACGATTTCAATGAGTATAGACTTCAGACACAGGGAAAATGTAATTATGGGCAATGGAAGCATAACGAGTCTGCTGTTGCAATATGAATTTAGAAATGTATATTCTTCCCCATTTGGAAATGTGTAATGACTAATGAGGTTTGTGATTGTTTCTGTAATGTGTCATTGGTTTTGTTGTACAATTCTTAAACTTGGCTGATAGGGATGTTTAAATAGAGCAAACAGACAATGGGTAATTAAAAGAGAATGCTGTCTGACAGAGATGTTTCTGATTGCAAAATGTAATTCAATTTTTTTCAGTTGAAAGATGAAAGTGAAATGCTACCCAATTTTGTGATGAACAGAACAGCTTCTATAGTTTTTACAGTTTTATTGATAGAGGTGTTTAGGCTCAAAGAAATGTGTACATTATGGCAATATGAAGAGAGTGACAGACTCTATTTGATGTTCTGGATTGTGGAGGATTTAAGGAAGGAAAAATGTAGCTCAATTTTGTGTTGATAGGCGGATGGGTCAAATTGGTTTTGTTTGTTCATGTATTTGCATATTTTCTACTGTAGAATCGTATGCTTCATTAATTGATGAGTTTAGACTTGGGGCATAGAGAAAATGTAAACTATGGTATTGAAATATCAGATTTGGAAATGTAGCAGACATGTTTCTGCTGAGGTCCGTTCGGAATATTAGTACAAATTATTGAATCATTTCAGCTAGGAATTATTTCAGGGCCCTATTCCTAATCAACCGAACAAGCCCTAAGTAGGAAATGTGCAGTAATAAGACTAGTGATTGTTTCTGCTTATACCTGTTGCACAATTTTTACATTTGACTGGCAGAGATGTTTAGGCAGAATAATTTGTTGTACAATTCATAAATTTAACTGGTAGAGATGTTTAGACAGGAAAACAAGCGAAAACTATGGACAGTCTGAAGGGAATGAGAGTCTGATTGGGATATTTATTGTTTGAAAGGTGGAGAAACGGTCCTCCATTGCGTGTAGTACTGTAGTTGAGGTGGTTCGAATTTTGTTGCGACTGTTGGCATATAGTTGTGAAATACATTCATCAGTTTTGGATGTGCCTGTTTTCATTTGGTCGTTTTAATAACTTGGTGGTAGCTTGCAGCACTCCTGTTTGGTGAGAACTGAGAAGCGGCTCACTAGCTGACAATTCGGTGCCTTTGTGTTTTTTTTCCTCCGCTAGAGAAGAGAATTAACTGTTTATTATATGTATAATATTCAGGCTGTTGTAGCTGATCAGCAACCACTAAAAAATTATCACTACTATCAAACCTGTTGCACACGCTTACTGGGCCCATTCGCGTGCCCTTAAATCTGGCTTGATCCGTTTCTTTTTTCATCTAAAATAGTATTTTTCTTTCATAAATTTTTTCAGCATTTCTTCAAACCATCCAAATTCCTTCAAACGAATAGGCCCTAGTTGACCTCGCACTGTGACGCTATTGTTTAAGTCTAAAAGCAAGTACAATAATTGATTTATAAAGAGCAGATTCAGTGCTAGAAGCTCCCACATGAGTGGGTCTGAGGAAGAGAAAAACCAAGGCAAGTCTTTTCCCCGTAAAATATGTGGAGAGGCTGCTTTGAACCCACGACCTGTTGACTCAGTGAGACAGCTCTTATAGCCAAGCTAATTAATATTTTTGCTGATGTGGAAGAGGGAAGGAATGAGAGAGAAGAGAGCTTAGCTCTTGTGCAAATACTAAATTGGACATAGAAGCATAGGTAGCAGTAGGTCTAATACGATGTACGTGAGAAGGAATAGTAAAGAGAATGGAAATATATAACAATATAAAAAGTTTGTAGACAAATAATAAGTGTGTTTACATTAAGCTGACTTTGGTTTTTATAACTTGAGTTATAGTCTAGCACCTAGCTTTATTATGAACGTTGCTCTAATACTCTAGTATATATAATAGGTGTGTTCAACCGACATAGTAGCGTATTGTAGGACTGATCGACACCGTTACGGCTCTGGGTCTTGTTTAGATTGCAAATTTTTGTAATTTGGATATTGTAGCACGTTTTGTTTATATTTGATAAACTTTGTTCAATTATGGATTAACTAGATTCAAAAGATCTCTCTCGTGATTTATAACCAAACTGTATAATTAATTATTTTTTATCTATATTTAATGTTCCATACATGCGTCTAAAAATTAATATAACAGAGAGAAAATAAAAAAACTTAGAATTTGGGGTGATCTAAACAAGGCCCTAATACACCACTGTAGTGCTCTTCTGTCAGTGTCAGCTAGGACTGCCATCTCTGCCGAACTACGGAGTATCCACTATGCGTTCGGCTGTGCTTATCCTTTGGCAAACCTCTAGAGTCGGAGTATGTACTGTTTTGTTTTATCTCAGTCCTTGTCTAGTTCTAAAAAGTTTTCCTAAAGGGTTATCTCATCAAATCTCATGATACGTGTACGAAGCATTAAATATAGACGAAAAAAATTAATTGCACAGTTTAGTTGGAAATTACGAGATGAACGTTTTGAACCTAATTAGTCTATGATTGAACACTAATTGTCAAATAAAAACGAAAGTACTACGATAGCCAAATTTTTAAAATTTAGCCAACTAAACAAGGCATTAGCTTCAATCAAACTGGTATGTTTGAGAAAGGTTTTGTGCTGAAATGTCTTGCTACCCTGCTGCTACACGCAGTGAGCTGACGGTGCATCCGTGTGTGATGCATTTCAAGTGTTGACTGAACCAGTCTCACGTAAGCCGAAGTCGAACTGGTGGCATCCATCTCAAGGCTTTTACTCCTGACATGAAATCTAACCGATTTTCGCCTTGTTTAGATTGCAAAAAAAATTGAACTCGATGAATAGTGCTATTTTCGTCTTATTTGGTAAATATTGTCCAATCGTGGATCAACTAGGCTCAAAAGATTCATCTCGTGATTTCCAACTAAACTGTGTAATTAGTTTTTTTTCACCTACATTTAATACTCCATGTAAATGGCTAAAAATTGATGTGACGGAGAGAGAGTGAAAAAACTTAGAATTTGGATGGCATCTCAACAAGGCTTGTGCTAATCTTAGGAGTACTGTACTCGTAATGCATGCTCATACTGTAGGACAGCAGAGCAATCCAGCGGATGTTGACAGGCCCCTGCTTCTGGTTCCGATGTCCCTTCCATCCCCTGCCCAACAAAAAATTGACATCCAAAGCCAGCGGCTCCAGCTACGGCATCACAAAAATAGGCGGTTGATCCATGCTGCTCTGCTGTTCCAAGATGCATCCAGCCTGCAGTGCCACTGCAGAGGAGAGAGGCCTGCTGACCCATGACCGGCTGACAGGACGCCGGACGGGAGCCTCATCCGACCTCTGCCATTGCTCAAGGAGTCCACGGGAGTAGGAACGACTAGTACAGTGCTTCTGTCTCAGGGTCAACATGTCCGTCCAATCAGACCCGGGAATCCAGATTTTGGACACACTGTACCTCTTTCTACTTTTTTTTTTTTTTTTTTGCAATTTGAGATCTGAACCGAACCGAAAATCATCGTGTGACTACGTTTATGGGAAAAATAGTATCGATATTTATATCTTTATATAGATTTACTAGCAAAATGCATTCTAAGATTAATACTTTTTTGGCATCATAAATGACAGTATTTTTTTTTATAGATTTGATCAATTTTAAAATTGTTTAGTTCTTCGGAAATGGAGAATTTTTTTAAGCCGAGGAGAGAATAGCCATTTTTTATCTAAAGTCTTGCACTGCTCCCTATCTCAAGTGGAGTATAGTACACACAGAAAAACGAAAGAAAGTGGTGATCTGGTACTACCGCAGAGGATTCTTGAAATTTGACTCCAAAATAGGACAAAAAAAAACAACCAAATCTTGAAGTGAATGCAAATGCCATGAGAGCAAGTATTATGGCTGGCTGCAAGCCGGCTAAATCCCCGCTGGCGGAGAGAGTAAAGGAGAGAGAGTGCGGAGTGGACGTCTCGCGAAACGCCGACTTGAAGCGGGTGGTATACGCACGCCCGTGCTCCCATTCGATGCTCTGCTGTTGCGCTCGCTCCGCATTGGCTGTATGCGCTGCTGCGGAGCTACGGCTGCCGCTGCCGCACTAATTGGAAGTCACACTAGAGTTTATTTCGCCAGCGAGCGGGCGGTATCATTGCCCTTGCTCTGATGGAACCATGGAGGATTGAAGCAAATACTGCAAGTGGGCGGGTGAGTGCACTGGAGAAGAGAAGACGTGCGCTTGAATGCTGATCATCATGAGTTCTTGCCTTGTGACAGTAAGAAATCTGTTGCCCATCTCCATCTCTGCTGGACTTTTACTCATGACATGGCTCCAACAGATTTTCCTGCAGAATTTACTGTAACAGATGGAGAAATTCTACAGATATTTTTGTCACGCTGCACCTCGACTCCAGTCTCCATAGCAATACTTTGACTGGACCAGAGTAGTAGTACCTGTGACAGGCCCTGAGGCAGTGCTGAGCTCACATTCCCTGCTTCCAGTGTCATCTGGTAATCGCCGAAACTGACATCCTAATAACTGCCCCAACTCACACGCTCCCCACCCGGCCATCTCCTCTTCACACAAGTACTTTTATTGTAGCAATGTAATTAGGGCTTCTGCAGGGGCTTCAGCTCTGGCTCCTGCAGAAGCTGTATCAAACGTCTGTTTTAGAAAAGGCTCTGCATGGAGAGCCGGTCAAGAGTCGGAGCCATTTTATACCTGCGCAGGAG